GTACTAGGCCCGCCTCTCGCGTCCCCCTCGCCCGTGGGGGCAAACCCGCCCCCCCCCGAGCCAGGGCTGGCCCCGGCCCACGGGTGTCTGGGACCCGCGCGGGGCCACGCCCGCAGCGCCGGCCTCTGTCGTGGTCCCGCGCGTGGCTCACATCGCACCGAGGTCACCCGAGGGGAGGGGAGGGGAGGGGAGATCAGCAAGACCAAAGCTGCAGCCACAGCGCGCTGGACACGGTACAGGTGGGGAGACGGGGTGGGAAAAAAACCCTCAGAGGGTTTCTTGGCACAGGTTGGAAAGTCCAGACAGAAGTCCCCAGAGGTCACCTGTGAAAACCTTTGGTCCTGTGACAGGACTGGAAAGGAAGGCTGCAGGTTCATGCTTCTGTTGTAGCGGTTTTTCAACAGCTTCAGTTTTTGTGTGAATCCCAATTTTACTCATCTGTAAGTGCTGGCAACGCATGATGATGCAAAGGAAACTTGCATGCACCAGGAAAATTGTATTATTTCCTGTGCACCCCCCCCCCCACACACACACCTTATGGAGCGTGGATCCAGGGATATATAGCGTCTTCTCAAAGTCTGGCAAATTCATTCTTCCTTGAATTGGAATCCATTACATTACACAGCAATTCCGCTTTTAATGTGGCAAAAACATGTCAGGTTTTATCATACCAGATACAAAAAGACAATAAAAGAAAATTAAACTGTGAACTACAGAAGAAGCTGTAGAGAGGTTTACCAAAAAAAACCCCTTCCCTTTATTCACAATTAAAGCCGAGCCACTTCTTAAACAAAGTAGGTATATTTTGTCCTTTTGGCCAGTTCTTGTACTAACCAACTTATAAGATTTTTCTTCCAGCATAAAGTCATAAATTATGATGGTTCATAATAATGGTTAATGTACCTACATTAACAGAGGACTCTTGAGAATACTAATGCCCATTTGCTGGACACAGAAGATAATTTTCATATTTCCTGCGGGAATGTTTCTGTGGCTCATTATGCTAACTATCATCAAGCTCTCCTAACAGTTAAATGCAATAAATAATTTGATTGATGGCAACAGAGAGCAGACCTACTGCCCTAGTCTTTTTGAATGTGAATTACTATGAAAGCCCATTTTACTGGATTTAATTAAGATGTTATCATAATTATACTTGTTTCTGTCTGTTAGACATGCATAGTAGTGGTGAAGTAATGGCTAAAATAGGCCATAGGATGAAATGTTCTGAAAGGTTTCTGGTTTAGACATACAATGGAGAATCTTTTTTTTTTCCCAGAAGTGAATAGAGTCTACTTATATGCTGCTTGATTAAATGTTAGCTAATTATTTGTACACAAAAAGGAAACAATTTTGCTGCCTGTAGGTGGAATTCTAGTTCCTCTACACAAAGTCTGACTATGTTAAGCCACTGTGCATGACGAAGAAGAAAACAGTGTCCCCAGAGGCCGGAGCACAATCCATATGAACAGCATGCTTATATATGGTAGTTAATATAGTATGCCTTCTCTCCAGTCAAACTGGTCTGAATACTGATAAACAGTACATTTGGCAGTGACCACTATAATTTCTCTTTCTTTCTATTTTTACTATGCCTATCACCATAATTTCTAGACACCAATGCACTAAGTCCCTAAACGCACTAAATGTTCTCTATACCATGTTCTCTGTGCTCTCCCATCTGTCTCCCAGACTGAATGCTGTGTTTTTTTTCATGTCATCTATCTGCATACTCTAAAACACCCTCTCCAGGAATACACACTATATAAGGTTGCAAAAACAGATCCCGTTCCTAACATTTTAAACATCTGCTTGCTGGGCTGAAATATTCCATGCTGGGTTTCTAAAGCTGGATTTTATGGAAAGTTTGAACAAAGCCTCCCAGCCACTTACAAGTTATGGGTAAGTGGGGAAAAAAGGCTGTAGTAGCACTTATTAGTGAGCGCTACCATTCATGAAGAAGGGTTATGGGGACTCCAGCCCCAAGATAGTGTAAGCCTAATGAAAGATGCCTTTTGGGACATCCTATATTGATTGAGAGGGTTACACGGCCTGTTCTAACAGGCCTAGCACAATGGTTCTCTATCTTCTTAGACTTGAGCCATCCCAGAGAGACTTGAGACACCCCAGGATAAACTCGAGTCACTCCTCGGAAAATGCCACCTCTTCATGTTCACTGTTTTTTTTACTACAGAAAAATTAGAGTAGTTTTTCTGTTGCAAAGAACTCAGGAAGACCATCACAATAGATTTTGATTTGAATTGAGAATCACTGACCTAACCACTGAGTTGAGAGTTGACAAGAGACAGAGCTCCTGCTCTCATGTGTCACATAGGACTGCTTGCATGAGGGAGTTTGTTAATGTTTAATTTAAATAAATACAGCGGACTCATCCCTCAAAAACAAACTAATTAGTTAAAAACAACCCTACCTTAGTCATGGGAGAGGGATGTGTGTGCTGGGAGGAAGAGGAAAGGATTCTGTGTGTTCAAGGGCCTTGTAATGTTAGCCGCATTTGTTGGAACACGTCTTTTAATTTTAAAATAAAATAGTGATTGGATTGTGCTATTAGGTGACACCGCCCTAAACAGGAACATCTTCCTTCAAAGTGTTCCTACAGAATGGCATCTTCCGTCAAACCTAAATATATCCAGTACATCTGGTTTGTGAATAAATCTTTGTAGAGCCCATTCATATAACAGCTATAACCACCCTTTTGGAACAATGTAGAGGCTCAGTCCTCTTAACAGGTGACAGGTAACAGGTCAGCAGCTTCCTTGCCATCATGACCATTGCTTGTGTATCTTGCACCTCCTACTCTAGCACCCAAGCATGGCTGTGGAAGTATATTCTGAGACATCTGAGCAGCAATCCTGGCATATGGAGCAATGCAAAACTACACCCTTTCGAAATTCAAGAGAAAAAATAGCTAGTACATTTTTCAGTTCCTTAAAGACTTCCGTGACTGTTTTTCTAAACTAAACACATTGAGCCATAAACCTCATTTGATGAACCATAGCTTATCCATAATAAACATGTATAAAATTCCTCATAAAATCAAGGCGTGGTTCTTAACTCATGGGTTCAGTATATTGGAATTCAGCCAGTGCAGACACAGACCGATAACACAGAGCAGCAATCCCCACCCGTGGAGACATGCTGCCAGCAAGACTGCACAGGTTTCCCTCGCTAACTGCTGGGGTGAAGTTCCTGAAAGTTCCCGTGGTTGGCAAAACCGTGGTTGGCAAGGCAAAAGGCCTATGTGGAAAATGGCAGGTGGTGGGCTGATGCACAGGCACAGAAAACTCTGGTTATTCAAAACTGTATACCGTGTAGTCAAAATGGTACATAGAATATTAAGTGTGGATAAAACCACAGCTGGCAAAGGAAACTTGTAGCGTCACTAACAGCCACAAGAAATGTTGCTTTCCACACGTAGGTGGTTCTTTGTGTTTTCAGGGAGAGCAAAGTATGCTGTTGCCTACAGCATGTTACTTGCTCAGTGTTTTTGCCCATGGGCCGACAACAGCTGTAAAAAGAAATGACAGAGCTGCTTTAATCTGTACCCATTTAATGTACTGATTTTGGGGTCTATATTTCATTTATAAAAATAAGTTTTTCCTCCTAAATACCAAACAGTAATGTTTCTTGCATTGCAAGGGAGCAGGCAGCGAGTGCGGCCAGCGCAGCCTCCGCAGGCGGCCGGGGCCGGGCAGGGGGAAGTCGCGTGCCATGCAGCAGCAGCGCCCCCTGCCGCCCGCCTCCTCCTCCCCCCGGCTGCAGCCACGTGGCAGGGCTCCCGCCACCAACCCGTGCCGCGGGGGAGGGGCCTGATACGTTCCTGCAGCGGGCAGCTGCCTTCCGGACCCGCCCGTCGTCCTCGAGCTGCTGTGGGAGCAGGAAGAGGGCCGGAGGGGCCGCCGAGTCAGCGCTCCATATCTTTATAGGCGCGTCAAGGTCAGAGTTGCACTCAGCGGTAGTGTGGCCGAGTGGTCTAAGGCGCTGGATTTAGGCTCCAGTCATTTCGATGGCGTGGGTTCGAATCCCACCGCTGCCAGCACATCTTTTTCGGCTCGCGGCATCATGCGTTCGCCTGCAGGCGGTCTCTGGATTGCGGGATTGCGGGTCCCGCAAGAAAAAAGCGGCACTTTAATCCTTCCCCCCGCATCGTGCACCAAGTGGAGCAGTTTTGGTGCGTCTCAGCGCCTTTTGGGCTATGAATTTGGACCAATGAATGCTTGTTCATTTTGCGGAGCGGGTGATGAGGTCGTGCGGAGACGTGGAGGCTGCCCCCTTTCGGTTGCTGCTTTATTACAACCCCGGGACCATGCACAGGTTTCTGGCGATGAAGAGGGTGGAATTAAAGCGCAGCTCTAAGGAAGTAATGACAACTTCACCCTCAGTAATTTGGCGAGAAGTAAATTTAAGGGGGGGGGGTGTCCTATTTTATTTGATGGCTGAAAGTGTACCTAGAAGGTGTCCTGAAACTTGGTGCGTCTACGTGAGACACTGCGCAGCAGCCTAATAACACTGAGCAGTAGCCATGTGGGCAAAAAACAAGCTAACCTGCCCTACTGCACAGTAATAGTAGGCTACTGCACAGTGTTACGAAAAACCCACGTGCTGGCACTACTGCGAGTTACTGCGCATTGATTTAGCACTTGATTAACCAAGTACTAAACGTAATGTGCAGCAACTGGCCCATTTATGAACAGGTAAACACTCCCAGAGGGAACCAGGAAAAGACCTTTCAAGACAATTTTTTCAAGAGATAAGGAACCCATAGAGGCAGAAAATTACATTTCAGGTTTTCAAATCTAGAGCAGAAATGCTGGAAGATGTTTTCCTAATTTGTTGGCAATGTTATTTTAGTAACAATAAGCTAACACACGTTTCCGCCAGCTCTCCGTTGGCTGATGAAATACTTGAGGGAAAACGCAAGGTAACTTATCCCCTTTCATCCATGGGGCAAGTGACCTCAACTGACAAGGCAAAAGCAGGCACAGGGGCAGTTACCATAGCAAGGCTGAGACACTGTAAATTCACACCATTGCTCATAACTTGTTTGCGTCACAACCCAGTGATTTTTTGTGCCTCGGCACTATGGAATTTCCTGGCCACATGAGAGCTCCTTTGCACAGCAGAGTGTTCTGCTGCAATTAAGAGCCTGCGTGCAGGAGAGTTCCCGCCAATTTGCAGTTTCCTTTGCAGGATGCATTTCTTCTTTGCAGCACAGAAATGCACGGTGCAAAGAGTTCCCGCCATTCGAATGTAAATTTGTGCCCCGCTATTGGCCAGTGCTAAATTATTCACACGTGGCGGCTAGTAATTGGCTCGCTGGCCGTTTAAAATTCCGCGCGACTTCCGCCCAAGTCGAAGAGCTTTGAGCATGCTGCAGAGTGCCTCTGAAGTTATCTGACTTGTGGCTGCCGATTGATAGACTGATCACCTATCGATCTTTCTTCCCGTCGCCGAGCGCAACCCCAGACGTACCCCTTTCCCCGCCGGCTTCGAATTGCGGACGGATTAACTGGCTTGGGCCCCGCCAGCTGGAACAACTCGTGTGGTTGTTCTGACGACCGGACCACCTGCGTCGTGATCACAAGCGGCGTGAGTAAAGTTTTTTGCAACCAATAAGTTGTGTCTGCCTCTCCACTCACCAGCCCGCCCTGACGTACGAGCGTAACTCGAGTCGGCCCTGGCCGTCCGAGACAGTTTGTGTAGCCATATTTTCAGATACTTGTATTTTGCTATGTATAATCCCTAATCAATTAACATTTTGGGCACTGGCTTTGGAAGTCCTCTCAATTCTGATATAAGCCCATCGAGAGGAAGCATCTTGGGGGAGGAGGGGAAATGGAGGGTGTTGTGAATGAGCGCTAATGAAGGCCAGAACAGGTAAGAGATTTAAGACATGCACAATTTTAAGCACGCTTTTATTTCCCCTCCTACGCAATGTCACAACTAATTCACAAAAAAAGCCCAAACCCCCCAAATTACATTGTGCATCTTTTCTGTACAGCCAGTGTGCATTATTTACATAAATCTATTTTCCACCTTTGATCTGTTTCCCAGCTCCTCACAGTAAAATGCAGTGGCAGCAGATCTGGTCAATCTTTCACTTTATTCAAGTCTTTCTCTTTATGGTTACAGTATTACAGGTTTACTGTGGCAGCTCCTCCTCCAGTTTCTCATCCACTTGAGCAGCCAGTTTGGGAGAGAGCTTCTTTGGTGTGAAATACATAGCTCCAACCGCTCTAATCCCTGCATTTTTTCAGTGGTGATCTCCCTTGTGTTTAGGATTGTACAGTCCTTTAACTTTCTAAGAGCAGCTACTGATACACCACATTTTTGGTTTAAGTCTTAAAATTAGCTGCCAGTCTGCTATGTCAAAGCCAATAACTACTACAAAGCCTAATGCAGCCCATGTGGGCACAGAACTGTACTGTGACTTAGTACAAACCAAGTTACATATCTTAATGTTGGTTTTCTTTGAAAAACTGCATAATTGAAAGGCTTTCAAATTTAAAAGAAAGCAAAATTAAACTTAAGAGGCTGGCAATGAAAGAAAGTAAGATTTTCAGGAAGAAGTGATGATTCTGGGATTTTGGTCTTGTTTTAATAAAATGATCCACAGAATCAGCGAATGCAAACTTCTTTGGGCAGTACCCTAGCTGATTACGTGCCTTGTCTATTCGGAAAGTGTGAGTTACAGCGACGTTCCACACCTATGATGCAAAAAGAAACCCACCAGACAGAGAGATGAATGCATTAGAAACCTTGAACAAACATCTCTGATATGACAGTAACAGGTTAGAATTTACAAAAAAAACAACTCTCAAATTAAAATAACATTGGATCAAATTGTACAAGTTATCAACCCACAGCTTAAACAGGGATAGCAGTATTTTTTCAACCTTGTGGACATCCAGAGTGAGTGGTCAGACATATCTTATCAGCATCACTTGCTGGAGCTGAGCTGTCATTAGCCAGTCACCCTGCATCCATGTCTCTAAGGTACTTTTACGGCTCCATGATACTACCAAATCTGAAGGCCTCACCGTCTTTAAAGTTCTATTATCACATCTGTTTTATAGTTGGGGAATTGAACTCATATTTTCAGAGGTATTTAGACACAACCACATGAAGAAAGATATTGAGGGGGATTTTCAAATCTAAAGCACCTTGAGTTTGAAAATCCTACCAGGTACCTAAATACTTTAAAAATCTGGCCCTGCCTGACTTACCCAAGGTCACACAAGAGATGTGTAACACAGTGTGCAACTAAATCCATCTCTCCCATAGCTTAAATAAGTACTCTAACCATAAAGCTATAATTCCTTGAAACATTGCTATTCCCATCTTCTGATGAGGTGTACAATTAGGTGCTCCACTACTGAAAATGTTATCAGTGCTATTTAGGCCCTAGCACAGGGGTGGGCAATCATTTTGGCTGGAGGGCCACTTAATGAGTTTTGGTGAACTGTTGAGGGCCACAAGGGTAGCCCTGTTCCTTGACAGGTGCCCCAGCCCCTGGTCACCATCATGGGATGGAAAGTCCTGCCCCTAACCCCTGACCTTTACCACCAGAAGTCCCTTCCCTTGCCCCCAGAAGTACTCCTGGGGGGGCGGGAGGGGGGGTGGAGAGAGGGTGTTGCCATGTTGGAACTGGAAAAAAAATTGCTAAATATTAAACATCTCCTATAATATATTTTCATTTTATTTAAAATATATTTTTGTCCTGATTTACATGTTTGCATAGTGTACATAGAGATGATTGCTGAAAAAGAAAGTCTTACTGTTGTATATTGTGTGGGGGGGAGTGTGTGGGGTGTAGTTGGGGGTGTGTGGAGGGGTGTGGTTGGGGGGGGGGTTGTGGGAGTGTTTGAGAACAGGGTATGGAGAAGAGTGTGGTTGTGGGGTATGTGGGGGAGGGGGGTGAGGGTGTGGAGTCTCCCTACATGCCCCCACCAATGGCAGCAGCAGCAGGTGGTAGGCCCTTGGGGCACTCATAGCTTAGGCAGGTGGTACCCCCAGGTGGCACGTGGCTCCAGCCACTTCCAGGAGCTGCACATGGCAGTATGGAACAGGGTCAGGCTGGACCGCCTCCATGGTGCAGGGCTCCCTATGGCTGACATGCAGCTCCCAGGACCTGGCTAGAGCCCATTCCTATTGGGGCAGCGTGATTCACTCCCACCCTCGAGCAGTGGAGAGCTCTGGCCCAGGCCCCGGCCCCGGCTAATGCATAGGTTCTGGGCAGGGACGCTGCTGCTGCTGCCTGAGTAACTGCTTGGCTCACCTGGCTCCTCCTCATGTCCCTGCTGCAGTGCTTTAAGCAACAGGTAGGGTAGTGCTTGGGGTTGGGGAGAAGCTGCAGCTGGGTGGGAGCACAGAGCCTGGGGCCTGTGTCCAGTGGGGTGGCGGGAGTGCAGAGCCCAGGGTGGCACAGTTCTATCACACAGGGTTCCTTGTGGCTCATGTACAGCTCCCAGGATTTGCGTGCCTCCAGGGTGAAGCCCCATGTGATGAAGCCAGCAGCCATCCCCACTCCTTGCTGCCACATGCAGCTGCTCCCAGGAATCTGCTGGGAAGCAGGGAGCAGGGCTGAGCCAGCCTAACTCCATCGCATGGGGCTCCCTGCAACTTCAGGCACCGTGATCCCACCAGCTGCAGATTTTCTCCACCCCTCTGGTGCTTCCCTACCTGCTGCCCAGAGCATTACAGCAGGGACATGAGGAGCCCGGGGATCTGAGCAGTTCCCCTGGCAGTGGCAGCAGCAGCCCTGCCCAGAAGCTGTATGCTGGCTGAGCCAGGGCCAGGGCTTTCCCCCGCATGAAGGTTGGAGTGAAGCACACTGCCCTGGAGGGACAGGGCAGGGCTTAGGCCCCATGAGAGCGCATCACAGGCAGCCACAGGCCAGGTGGTTACAACTAACTGATGGGCACCTGTCCACGGGCCAGATGAAATCACCTAATAGGCTGGATCCAACCCACAGGCCATATTTTGCCCACCACTGCCCTAGCAGATATTGGTTGCCTTTAATGGGAGGAATGACATGGTAAGTAGCTCCTCCTAATACTAGCTCTTCAGCCAAATCCTGCAATTTTAACCCAGAAGTTAATATTTGGAGACTGGCTCAAAAGGTAAAGGTGGTATAACCTAGGTCCTCAAGCTGGCTGTATCAGAACAGATTTTCCTCTTGCAGCAACAAAGAGAATGATCTGTGTCAGAATTTGTTAACACCTAGTAAAAAAATAATTTAGACATAGATTATTTCAATTTTTCTGTTGCAAATTATTTTGCAATATTCATTTACCACAACAGGCAAAAAATACTTACTAATTTATGTTTTATAAGAATAACTTAAAATCACTTGTTTTGGGATGTGTTAATCAACCTAAATACCATATTTTCTTTCATATAACACCCCCCCCTTACAAAAGCTGCACCATGTTTCTGAAAGGCAGAATAAAGAAAAATTATCTTTCTTTGAGACCCTCTGCTACAGAGGAAGCAAAGTGTCCACTGCCAGCAGCTAGATACAAGCTTTACCTTAACTTTCCCCTGGGAGAGGCTTAGGCAGCAGAAACTGCTGTTACTGTATTCCTCAATATAATGTGCACGCTAATTTCCAGCAACTGAATTTTTTTGGAAAAGATGTGTGCGCATATGAGAAAATATGGTAATGCAAATGTGCATAATTAGGAATAGATTAGTCATCTATATTTGATTTTTGTTTAGCTTAATTTTTTTCTAATCTCAGAACATATGAGCCAAATTATATGAAGCACTGACTGAGAATTTTATTTTTTGACTTTCATATATTAATTATGCAGACTCACCAGAAATTGTGCCCAAATATACAATGATACACTTCCTGTGACTTCTAACTGGTTGTTTTATGAAAATATATTTTACCTCATTTCTGGTCAGCAAAGGTGACACTTCAAGAAGTGGTCTCAATGTGAAATGCAGATATTCAATTGTTGTGGCTGTGCAACAGAAAGTTACTATTTGAGATAACAATAGTAAATGACTAAATACTGTAATTTTAGGGTAACAGTCATATAGTTAGTGCTGAAGAATACTTAGGTTCTGAACAACTGAGCAAAATCACTGAAGTCAGTCGGTCTGTTTAGTTGAGTAAGATAAAATAGGTTGGTTTTGGTCCTTTTTTGCTGCATAAGGTAAAGGCTTAATTGAGAATGTGTGTATGAAAAGGGTTTGCAGGCTTGGGCATTAATTTAATTAAGACTCAAGGACTTTAAGAAAACATAGTGATACTAAACCAATGTAGATGGGATTCTACCTTTGTTACCTATCCAAGACTCCTTAAATTTGGAGGGAACTTGGGTTACATAAGAACGCAGAATTCAGCATTAAAAAAACCCAAAAACATAATTTTTAGAGCAGGTAATAAGGAGTTTTTTTACCTGTAATCTTTTTATGTTCATAGTGTGAATGTTCAGAGAGCTTGAATAAGGGTTATATATAATTTTTGTCACACTGGGTGAGTCTACACATGCAATTAATGAAAAGCACTAAATGATGGAGCAGTTTGGGTTTAAACTCTGGAGCAATAAACTCCTGGGTGCAGTGTCTATACATGTGCCTGGGGCACCAGCAATTTGAGCTGTACAGCAGGCCAGGACTGGTAAGAGGCATGGGGGGCGGGGGGAAGTCAGCCTTCGGCTCTGGGTGGAGCTGTGTTGGGCAGCAGAGGGGCTGGTTGGGGCATGAGGGTGCTAAAAGTGCAGAGTTGTGTGGCTAGGCAGTTGGGAGGAGTCTGGCTCCCAGCTGGCTGGGCTGACTGACTGCAATTTATGCACATGGCCAATATCTATACATGTGTTTAATCGCAGTAAATTACCCCGGCCTAACATAGTACTGCCCCGACAGTACTATCTTACTGCAAGATTAATTAGTTTACTGTGGCCTAATACAGTTGTGCATGTAAACGATGATGCTTTAGTCCTTAGCTAGTCTACTCTGCAGTAAAGTGCATGTGTAGATGCAGACACTTAAGACATATTTTAGGGAGGGGAGTTAGTGGGATTTATGTAATGGATAAAGCTGTTGTTAGCTCTGTGAACAGGTGTGAGTTTCACCACCAAGGGTTATATATAAACCAAATACATAGTTATTGACAAATTACATTGGAACTGCATAAAACAAAACTGTATAGTCTTGCATTTCACAAAGGTGTTACATAGATTAATTCAGAAAAACTCAAAAGTACAGCTAAATAAAGCATAATATATCAATATATGGTACTCAGAGCCTACAGTGATGGAGATATAGTAGACAGAAAGTTATATAAAATATATTACCTGCTGCATAAACTAAGGAAGTAGGAATACGTATCCATGGTTGACTGTAGCCTAATTTTTCAAACTGAAAAGGATTTAAAAAATAGTGATCAAATCACTTAACTTCTGATATTATTTATAATTATTATTTTTTTTCTTTAAAAGATTCCAAAGACAAGTGGCCCATATACAATATTATATTATTTTGAAATAACAGTGGGCACGTCTACACATTTCCCTACCGCGCCTTCGTTCC